TTTTTATGAAAAAAACTAATTAATATATTAATATTGTGAATTGTCATTTTTTACAATCAATAAATTTAATATTACTGTAATGAAGAACAAAATATTTTTTCGCTTATCTTATCTTAGATTGTGACATTGTTTCTATATCTATATTAAATACTATCCATTATTTCCTATAGAAAGTAAATATTTACTATCATTTCCAGTGGCGCCTCGTGGACACTAGCGGCAGTGGGGCACACACTGGAAAGGAATCCCGGGATTCGTTTTTCCCTTAGGAAAACAAGTTCTCCGCTTAATGAAAATTAAATATATTTCAAAACAAATTAAATATTACAAAATTGAAGACTAACTGCTAGGTACCGCTGCAGTTGTATAATATTTCTTATAGTTGAAGACCATTCTTCTGGATTTTTAATTAAAATTAAAATTTGGACTGGACCGAATAAGTTTTTTTTCGATGAATAACATGGCTAACGCGCACAATCTATCTTAGCACATAGTGTTCCTTAAAAATGTTTTAGTATCGAAAAACATATTTCACTCTCCACTGTGGTCATGGGAATTGTACACAGGATAGTTAGCAGCCCCATAGATTCCGAAAATGTAATTGTCAAATTGTTCTCAAAAAACATTTGTAATAACGGTACGGTCCCATTGTGTTACACAAAGTCATCTCGGGTGTAAAGTATGGACAGTTCTTTTTTGAATTTTAAGCTGTTTACGTTTGGAAATAAACTACACACAGTTTTAACGTCCTCATTTGGAAAACAACCTTGGTAGTCTTTAAATTTTTCACTATCAAATAAACTTGCAATTGTTAGGTTAGGTTATGCTAACAGAGATTTTAAATCCTCGAAAAAGTCAGACAAAACCAAAAGAAAAATTAAAATTTTGTCCCATTTATAAATATTATTGATTTTTTTTCATCATATTTTTGACTGCTTTATAACAAAAAAGTTATTTTTCTTTGTAGTTTTATTTCTTAACTATTCCAAAGGTCTAACTAACGTTTTTTTCATAATCACAATAAATAAATTATTATCATGGTCCAACAAACTCGCACCTTAAGCCGAAACCGGCATCGTATCTAGTCTAGGTAATATGTGCCATGGGTACAGCACGTCACGATCAGGACAGCGCCCCGCTTGTGACGTATTATCCATCGCATGTATTCATCTCTTGCTAAGCGATATTGTCGTTGTCCTTGTTTTTTGCATCAAAATAAGAAAAAAAACAACAGAGGCACACATTTACTGTGCCCTGTGCCCACTTAATTTCGGAATTCTCGGAACATCGCTCAACGCCCGGTCGTCCAGTGTCATGCCAGCGCGGTTTGCGCTGAATATTAGATAAAATAATAATAGGCATTGAGGAAAATATAAAATATGTAAGTTAATTTTTTTTTGGTTTATTATACTGCTACGGGGTGTGCTATTAACCCCATCAGCGTAGCCACTAACTACCAGAAAGGGTTGGAGGAGAACACAGAAAAATAAGAACACTTACAAAAAAACCAATTATATTTTCCACTGTGGTGTATTTTACTAATAGTAGGTTGGCACTACTGTTTTAACTTCCGTTGCTATCGAGCAGTGCGCAGGTATTGTGACGCGACATACCCATGTGGACCATTGTGAATTTAACCTAGAAATATATGTACAAGTTAATAACTGTAATATTTAGTGTTTCATTTAAATAACTAATATAAACATACATAACAAATTGGCGACGATTTTGCGTTCTGAAGTAGTAATAAACGTTATACAGTGCAAGTTTCTGTAAATTTAATTAATGAATTGTGATATTCGGACATAATGGCGTCAGAAACCGGGACAATAGGACATTTACGAGAGTTTTGCTTCAACAGTTCGGATTGGACTATATTTAGGGCTCGTTTAGAAAACTATTTCAATGCAAATGGTATTAAAATCGACGGTAAGGATGCCAGTAAAAGGCGAAGTATTTTGCTAAATATTCTAGACGAGGCAGTGTACAAATTGGTTTTCGATTTGGTTAGTCCAGCTAAACCGGAGGAAAAAACATACAAGCAGTTACTCGATATCCTAAACAGTCATTTCAAGTCGCAACACAGTCCATTTGCCGCGCGATACAAATTTTACACGGCGATGAAAGAACCGGAAGAGACAGCAAATCAGTGGGCTGCACGAATAAGAGGATTAGCAGTGGGCTGCGAGTTTGGAGCAGAGTTAAAAATATGTCTCCGAGATCGATTTGTGTTCGGATTTAACAAAGGACCTATCTTGGATCGCTTAATGGAAGAAAAAGTGACAGAGGAGTTTGAAAAAATGGTAATTTTAGGCGACCAAGATGGCTGCTAAAGATTTTCAACAAATTACCGTCAAAGAAGAACCGGTAAATTTTATGAAGAAGGCAAATAGCACGTTTTTCTACATTATTGCCTCCTCTGCGTAAAGTAAAAAGTTTCAATGCTGTAAAATATAATGAAGCAAGGGAGCGGGTAGAAAATCAACAAAAAAAGCAAATTGTAAATAGTGGAGGAAAAAAGGGTATTGAATATAATGTTGGTACGGAAGTGTTTGCTAAAGATTATAGAGTTGTTAATAAGCCAGGTTTTGTCAAAGGAAAAATTGTAAAAAGGATAGTAAAACATACTTATACAATAGTAGAGATACCCGAATTGCAAAAAAGTCACGCTAATCAAATAAAAAAATAAAAGATGCCTCTGTTACACCTCTAATTCCTATTTGCAATGCTGATACCTCTACATCTACCGAAATTGATGATGTTAGCAAGGTAATGTCTAATAATGAGTCAGAAGCCGTAATAGAAAATTTATACAATAGTAGAGATACCCGAATTGCAAAAAAGTCACGCTAATCAAATAAAAAAATAAAAGATGCCTCTGTTACACCTCTAATTCCTATTTGCAATGCTGATACCTCTACATCTACCGAAATTGATGATGTTAGCAAGGTAATGTCTAATAATGAGTCAGAAGCCGTAATAGAAAATAAAACTTTAGATAATAGGCCTAAACGAAATGTTAAGGCAATAGATAGACTAGTTTATACTTTAATATAAGGGTTACTATTTTTGTTTGTTTGTTTGTTTGTTTGTTTGTTTGTTTGTTTGTTTGTTTGTTTGTTTGTTTGTTTGTTTGTTTGTTTGTTTGTTTGTTTGTTTGTTTGTTTGTTTGTTTGTTTGTTTGTTTGTTTGTTTGTTTGTTTGTTTGTTTGTTTGTTTGTTTGTTTGTTTGTTTGTTTGTTTGTTTGTTTGTTTGTTTGTTTGTTTGTTTGTTTGTTTGTTTGTTTGTTTGTTTGTTTGTTTGTTTGTTTGTTTGTTTGTTTGTTTGTTTGTTTGTTTGTTTGTTTGTTTGTTTGTTTGTTTGTTTGTTTGTTTGTTTGTTTGTTTGTTTGTTTGTTTGTTTGTTTGTTTGTTTGTTTGTTTGTTTGTTTGTTTGTTTGTTTGTTTGTTTGTTTGTTTGTTTGTTTGTTTGTTTGTTTGTTTGTTTGTTTGTTTGTTTGTTTGTTTGTTTGTTTGTTTGTTTGTTTGTTTGTTTGTTTGTTTGTTTGTTTGTTTGTTTGTGTTTGTTTGTTTGTTTGTTTGTTTGTTTGTTTGTTTGTTGTTTGTTTGTTTGTTTGTTTGTTTGTTTGTTTGTTTGTTTGTTTGTTTGTTTGTGTGTGTTTGTGTGTGTGTGTTGGTGTGTTTGTTTGTTTGTTTGTTTGTTTGTTTGTTTGTTTGTTTGTTTGTTTGTTTTGTTTGTTTGTTGGGTTTGTGTGTTTGTTTGTTTGTTGTGGTGTTGTTTGTTGTGTGGGTGTGTGTGTTTGTTTGTTTGTTTGTTTGTTTGTTTGTGTTGTTTGTTTGTGTGTGGTTGTTTGTTTGTTTGTTTGTTTGTTGTTTGGTTTGTTTGTGTGTGTGGTTGGTGTGTGTGGGTGTGTTTGTGTGTGTGGGTGTGGTGTGGTTGTGTGTGTGTGGGTGTGTGTGGGGTGGTGGTGTGTGTGTGTTTGTTGGTTGTGTGTGTGTGTGGTTGGTGGTTGTGGGGTGTGTGTGTGTGTGTGTGTGTGGGTGGTGTGTGTGTGTGTGTGTGGGTGTGTGTGGTGGTGGGGTGGGGGGGGGGTGGGGGGTGGGTGGGGGGGGTGGGGGGGGGGGGGGGGGGGGGGGGGGGGGGGGGGGGGGGGGGGGGGGGGGGGGGGGGTGTGGGGGGGGGGGGGGGGGGGGGGGGGGGGGGGGGGGGGGTGGGGGGGGGGGGTTGGGGGGGGGTGGTGTGGGGGGGGTGGTGGGGGGTGGGGGGGGGGGGTGGGGGGGGGGGTGGTGTGGGGGGGGGGGGTGGGGTGTGTTTGTTTGTTTGTTTGTTTGTTTGTTTGTTTGTTTGTTTGTTTGTTTGTTTGTTTGTTTGTTAATTTCAGTAGTTATTATATTGTTTAGTTGTACATTTTTGTTACCAAATTAAAGGGGGAGGTATTGTGGTGTATTTTACTAATAGTAGGTTGGCACTACTGTTTTAACTTCCGCTGCTATCGAGCAGTGCGCAAATATTGCGACGCGACATACCCATGTGGACCATTGTGAATTTAACCTAGAAATATATGTACAAGTTAATATAACTATAATATTTAGTGTTTCATTTAAATAACTAATATAAACATACATAACATCCACTATCAAAAATATAGATATAATAAAATAAGAACAATCTACTCACATTCTTTTGAGGGTACCCTTTGTTCACTGATTAGACACAACCTAACTTTTTATCTAATTTAACTTAACCCCTAGGCCGACGCCCCAAGCCAACATGACCTCGTATCCATTCTTTTTCTCGCATTCCGCATGGTGTTTTCAATATTGACTCATTGTTTAGATAATAATAAACTGCTGATAATTAAAATATTTTGTTAGATGGATTTTATAATATACTGGGCGTCATTTAATTTATTTATTTAGATATTTATTAATTATTTTATAACGTAACAATACTAGAGCACGTGCCCAAGTGCCTTACGGGAAAACCGCCACTGATCATTTCTTAATCTACTTTTACAAGTACCTATACACTATTGATTTTTTTTATTTTCAAATTGTTTTCTATGAAAATCATGATAAGAAAATAATCATTACCTACTTGAATAAAATCAACGTTCAAATGGGTGTTTTAGAATCTGTTAGTTAGATTTTGTTGTAAACCCAAAATGCAGTATAAATCAATTTTTTTGGTTTTAACTCTATTCGTAGTAGTTGAAAATTGTTTAGCAATCCTTCCATGTAAGTATCAATTAGAGTCTATTATGATACATGTATTCAGAAACTGTATTAATGATGAAAATCAGTTGCTAAGATATGTCAATGGATATTAATAAATATTTTTGTTAATATTTTAAACCTCGCTTAAAAAATAAATTTATTATTTTTAGTATTTATTGAATTAGGAATAAAAGTGGCAATGGATATTATAAAAAACAAATTTAATGTAAAAAAAGACCTACTACCTTTGAAAATACCAGATGCCTTTACTGAGTATGCGTAAGTATATTTTTTATTTTCTACACTATTAAATTTATTTTTAGTTAATTTATATAAAATACTTAATATTTTCTATGAGGTGTAGCCGTGCTTTCACAGCCAACATGTGGCAACTGCGATATCCCCACTATCGTTATGCTCTTTGGCTTTGAGACTGACATTCGTATCACACATCTTCTAATTCTATTACACGACTGGCTGTTGTGCTGTTGCCATTTTATTAACTTATATACTATAGTCTATTTTTATGAATGAGAGAGTAATAAAACAGCATTTCTAATGCAAAACTTAGTACGGTCATTTTAAATATTTTTACAGAATATTCTAAATATTTCCTAAAATTGTAATAAATGTACCTGAGCTATTACAAGTTTTGGGTCTTTTATTGATCCTTTATAAACATAAGCTGTACAGAACAATAGAAAAAGGTTTGGAAAGGGCAAAAGCCCTGTGTATTAAAGATTACATAGCCGTATCTTAAGATTATTTTCAATAAGTACCTGTTTGCCAATTTTGTTTTATTTTAATTCCAAGAATTTCTTTATAAGTAGATAAATACCTTCCCAACAAATTTCACCGAAAATGTGATTATAGGTTTTCCATTTAGTAAGGAGGTCCAAGTTGTGTATTCTTGACAGTTTACTAAATGTCGTTTAGTTGCAACTTGCAAGGTGCAGTGTGAATTCTAGTGTGATCATGGATAATTTGGAAGGGCCGCGTAAACGACAAAAAATCGGTCCTTTAACAGTTAATTAAAAAACATTAATATTTAATTGTTTTAAATCATTTACAGACAAACATTTATGTAAAAGTGTTGATGACACAGTGGAATTACTAGTACGCTTGGTGTTGGGAAATCTACGATTTACAGAGTTGTTAAAGAAGAGAAATGTGGCAAGTTTCAAACAGCACGTAAAGCTCCAGGAAAACCAAAATTTCAATGAGAAAATCTTTTGAAAGAAATACTTCGAAGGAAAGTGCATGAGTTCTTCTTTAGAAAAGAATTTCCGACAGTAGACAAAGTTCTTGCCACGGTTCGAGATGATAAGGATTACCCTGAAATGAGTCAAAGCACACTATGGAAACTTTTAAAAGAAATAGGTTTTCTATGGAAAAAGCATTCCATAAAGTCTATTTTTATAGAAAGAAGCGATATTGTAGTATGGAGAAGAAATTACCTAAGGACTATAAAAGAAATGAGAAACCAAAGAAGAAATATATTTTATTTAGATAAAACATGGATCAACGAGGGACATAAACCAAATAAATTTTGGCAAGATGAAACTGTTACAAGTCGAAGACAGGCTTTTTTAAATAATTTATCTACTGGTTTAAATCCACTATCAGGAAAGGCGCGCAGGCTAATAATAGTACACATCGGTAGTTTAAACGGTTTTGTTAAAGGTGGTTTATTGACTTTTGAACCTACTCGTACCGGTGACTACCATGAGGACATGAATGCTGATGTCTTTAAAGAGTGGTTCGAACAAATTATAGATCTTCTTCCTCAGAACTGTATAATAGTAATGAATAATGCAAGTTATCACTCGAGACTTATAGAAAAAATGCCCACAACCAAGTGGTTAAAAAAAGATTTACAGAATTGGCTAAATTCAAAGAATATTAAGTTCCATCCCGGTTCTGTGAGAAAAGAACTATATCATTTGTGTTTCCTTCATAAAGAAAAATTCAAAAAATATGAAATTGATGAAATTGCAAAAAATCGTGGGATGACGGTGGTTAGATCACCACCATATCATTGCGAAGTAAACCCGATTGAACTGATATGGGCACAGATAAAGGGAGAAGTTTCAAGAAAAAATATTTTTTTTAAAATAAGTGATGTTAAACAGTTGTTTTTGGAGGCTGTAAATAATGTGAAGCCTGAAAACTGGGAAAAGGCAGTAAATCATACGATTAAAGAAGAAGAGAAAATGTGGAAGTTGGACAATATTACTGATGAAATGATTGAGCCACTCATTGTAAATATTGGTTGCGACAGTTCATCTTCTGATTTCGATTCTGATTTGGATTTGTAGGTAAGAAGTAGTTTTTATAATAAAATTATTATTTATGAACGTAACGTTGTTTAAAAGTCAAAGTTTAAACCCCTATACCTACATAACCCGTTTGACACAATGTTCTTAACATACCTTGTGAAAAAATAAAACCTTTTAGAAAAAAAATGCACTTTTTACCTTCAGCTGTTTAGAAGTTATAAGCAGGTTAATTAGGTGAAAATATAAGTGTACACTCGAGGAATAACTTCAAAAAATATATTAACTGTCTACTAAAAGAAGCCTATGGATTACGAACGCTTTATTATTTTAATACTCTCTCTTACATAAAAATAGACTATAGTCGTATACCTAACACAAAAAAAATAAGTACTAAATAAGGTAAAATGTTTGTAAAGTCATCACTTATTACTTATTACATTGTTCCCAAAACCTATGTGACATACGTTAAGTATGTATTTGTACAATGGAAAAAAGAGTGAAGAACAACCGCTTTCCGTTTATATTTGATTTTATTAAAGAATATACACATTTTCATCAGCTATTTTTTTTTCAGCATTGGGAATTTGGATTTGAGAAATTTCAGTACATACGGCTTCAATACTTTGACATATACTGATAAAGTTATTTCACTACCAAAAGAAGGAAGGATCTCAAAAGAAAATATTACAATAAATTTAAATTTGGCTCAAATTGGTCTAAAAACTGACTATGATATAGATATTGGAGTATTAGATTTATTACCTGTATTTGGAAAAGGGGGTTTTCAGTAAGTTGACGTTTTGTATTTTTGAGATTAATAATAATTTGTTTAATTCAATATTTGTCATATTTCAGAATAGGTATAGCTGATATCAACTTATATATGAATCTGGTTTTAAACGATATAGGTTCCAGGAATTTAAGTATAGCGGATTTAAATGTGCAGCTCTCAATACGTCACTCTAAAGAAGTAAGTATTAATTTGTCAATGCATTATAACTGGTAAAATCTCATAACTATGCACTTTGAACTTCAAACAATTTATGTAAAAATATTTGGGACCTTTAAGAAACTAAAAATCTGTAGTTTCACAGTTGATAAGAATGGTTATCTAATTAAATCAATACCAGTGCCGCAGTGCATAAAATAACCTTCATAACAAATGTATTGCATTTCAAAAATACTTTAATTTAAAGCATCACATTTAAATTGAAAATCGAGTTATTGATTAGAAAAAAAAAAAAAGAAAAGGAAAACCACAAGTCGATAGAAGCTTTGGTTCTAGAATTATCGTGTCGACACACATACCTATGTTCGTACAGAGGTCTAAAGAAGATTTTTTGCGCATTTAGACTTAGGGTTGCCTGAAACGTGTAGAAAAGTATTAAAAATAGGGGTAAAAAAAACCGAGATCTTTAGGCAGGAGGAGGCCCCAGTAATTGTTAATACAGGAAGAGAAAAATTTTAAATAGCTGGTCTTCTATGCCGAGAATATTAAAAGCAATAGGTAGAATAATTGTATTTTTCTGCTTAATTGACCAGATTTTTAAATTATACAGTCCACTTGTATTTATCTCACATAAACAAACACTACAGATAAGCGAAATTTAACAAAAAAAGTCAATACATCACCAAGGCAAAACCAAGTAAATAGAAGAAAATTCATGAATTTTTATTTTTTAGAATTACATCACGGGATTTTGGCACAACGATGCAGTTAGTAGATTTCTAACAGAAGCTATAAATGTAATAGAACCAGTTGTCTGTGCATTATACGACTACAACTACATATGTATTGACTGTATTATAAGTCAAGTTTTGGAATTTTTAATTAATCTATTAGTACTTAAGGCTCATCCTCAACCACACATCACCTGCACATGCCTGGATGTAAGTATGGTATTAGAAATATTTTATTATGTAAGTGCTTTATTTCATTGTGAATCTCTAATTTGATAACACTACTATATACAGTCTGTTCGCTATACTTACGCGGGTTTCGGATTAACAAAATTATGCAAATTAGTCATTGACAACCAGTTCCAATAAGCCTTTTCCCAAGAACTTAGGTAAAATTGCCCTAATGGTCAGATTTAAATTAAAATAACATTAGGGTAGGTACTAAATTTGTTAAAAATATTGCAGTTGAATTGATTCTTTGCAAGTGTTGACATTGTATGTATACTGTAAATTTAGTGGAAATTTTAAAAATGCCTAGACGTGTGTTAGATTTGTAGTGTACATAAGTATTTTACGGATGAAAAAGAAAATGGCGATCCTTTAAAATCGGTAATGTCTATACAACAACGCGTATGCGATGCTCTAGGAATTAGTGAAACCAAATTAAGAGGAGTATTACAAAATCACAATAGTGAACTGCCGAAAGAAGATCACCGCAAAACTCGCCCATCATTGAAAACGAAAGATATTCCAGATGGAAAGAAATTTGAAATTCGTGATACCATTTATCGAATGAGGGCCAACAAGGAACATGTGACATACAATTCTCTCGGAATTAATAGAAATTTGACGACATTGGCAGAACAAGTCTATGGCAAGTCATACATAACTTGGGTTTCAAATTTCAAGAGGAGGATAACAGAAAGGCCCTTTGTGAAATAAGTTCTGTCGTGCACAAGAGAATTAACTTTCTTAGAAAATATTCTAAATTTAAAGAAGAAGGGGCGAATTTTATATACAGGGTGTTATTGAAATACACGTACATATTAAAATGGGGAATAGTATGTAATGACCAAAAACGATTGGCACCAATTTTAACTTCAAATTCTAAAATTTAATTATTGGGGAAGAGTCCCCTTTTTCGACCTACTAGTTTCCATATTTAAAGAAGTAAAATAAATCGAAATTGAACTTACCCATAGAAATTGCACTGTTGCCGTAGCAAAACCAATTAATTCAAAATAAAGTTTATTACAGTAATTGTTCAAAATGCCGTCCATTATTATTTACACACATTTGCAATCGTCTTTCCAAAGAACTTTGAACATTAGAAATTAGTCTTGGATTTTGTCGTAGTTCCTCGGCTACCGCATAAACTTTATTGGTTAATTGTTCAACACTATTAATAGGTTCACTCTAAACCAGTTGTTTCATGTGACCCCACAAAAAAAAATCGCATGGATTTAAGTCCGGAGATCTCGGAGGCCACTTAGTAGGCCCATTTCTGCCTATCCACTTTTAAGGAAATCTAATGTTCAAAAACTGCCGTACGTTTAAATCAAAGTGAGGAGGAGCGCCATCTAGTAGGTACCACATCCGTTGCCTTAATTGTAACGGTATCTCTTCTAGGAGTACTGGCAAAATATCTTCTAATAAAAAGTGGATATATCCTGGCCCATTTAATCTGTTCGGGAGAACATAAGGCCCGATTAAATACTGATCTATTATGCCAGCCCAAACATTTATTGAACATTTTCTTTGATGCCCAGTTTCCCTAATGGCGTGAGGATTTTCATCACTCCAAATATGCGTATTGTGCATATTGAACACGCCATCACGAGTGAATGAAGCCTCGTCAGTATACAATAATATTTTTAGAAAATCAGGAATATCAACACATTTTTGAATCATCCATTCACAAAACTCCACTCTCTTTTCTTCATCACCTGGATATAAGGCCTGGACTTTTTGGATGTGATAAGGATGTAAACCTTGTTCTTTAAGTGTCCGCCACACAACAAATGAGGACACTCCAATTTCAAGACCTAGTCTTCTACAACTTAATTGAGGCCGGTTTTCAACAGCTTTCAATATTTCTTCTTCGGCCGCCAATGTTCTTTGTGTTCTTGTTCTCCCTCGATCTGCATTGACACTCTCAAATTTTCCATGGTCTCTTAGATGCTGAACAGTTGAAATAAACGTACGACAGTCCGGAATTCTCCGATTTGGAAACCGTTCGCGATACAGGATTTGTGCTTGCCGAGAATTTTCTCAAGCTGCCCCAAAAACCAGCACTATATCCGTTAGTTCAATATTCGTAAATAGTGGCATCGTAAAAAAATATTTAAAAGTAATCGTAACAACACTTTTTATCAACTTGGAAATGACGCGCTCGTGTTAGCCAGATTCGTAAATCAACTAAAATTTTCTAATTTCAAAAATGTATAGTTTAAAAACAATCATTTATCAAATATTCTAGTTTTTTGATAACGAGGGTAGTAAAAACCAGTCTTCGGAAATAGAAATTAATTCGAAAATCTTGGCAACATGGTTATTTCTTACAAGACTAGTTTTCTTATCATCTGACAAAAACTTGCATATTAATTACTGTTGATGTTTAAAATAGGTAAATAAACCTAATTTATATAGGTCATCCTCAACATATCAGTGAAGTACGTTTGTTTTAGAATTAATTTTCAAAAATTAATAACTCCCTTAATAAGGGGTATTTTTAAAAAATAATATTTTTCTACATTCAGTGGGGATCTGCGCAATACCAAGTTTTAATATGTACGTGTATTTCAATAACACCCTGTATTTAGACGAAACATGAATATTTTCTAGGGGTGCAACCAAGAGAATATGACAAGATTATAACGTAAAGTCCATCAAACATATCGATGGAGAAGGGAAGCGACACATAATTTTACATGCAGGAGGGAAATCGGGTTTTATAGAAGGTGCTGATTTAATATTTTCATCTAAATCAAAATCCAGTGACTATCACGATAATGTGAACACAGAAATGTTTGTAAAATAGTTGCATGAAAAACTTCTCCCAGGTTTAAGTGAGCCCAGCCTAATTATTTTAGACAATGCCCCTTAACATTCTGAATTATCAAACAAAAGTCCAACGAATTCTTGGACTGTTGATAAAATTAAAGAATGGTTGACAAAGGAACATATACCATTTCCTTAATATATATTAAAATCAGAATTATTACGCTTGGCAAATATACACGCAAAACCAAAAACCTTTGTTGTGGATCAGGTTATTGAAAGTTACGGTCATCAAGTTTTACATCTGCCACCGTATCATTGCCAGTTTAATCCCATCGAATATATATGGGAAATAGCAAAACAATATTATGACAACCATATTGGGCCTAGTGGTTATAGTGACAACGCAGTTCGGGAAACTTGGCGAAAAGCACTTTCAATTGCAACTCCAGAAGTGTGGCGGAACTGTATATCCAAGTGCGAGAAACTAATAGAAGATTGGTGGACTCGTGAAAATAAAATAAACGAAATGAGTCCAATCATAATAACAATTAATGGTGATGATGACGATTATGATATTTTGGATGATAATGATTGATTTTCATTTTTGTTGGCAAGTTCAATTTTTTTATTTTTAATTTGAAATTCTCTACATGGAACAAATTTTTGTTAGAAAATATTTTATTGGAGCTAAATAACCCTCTTAATATACATAGACCATATTTTCTGTGTGAAGTGTAATATAAAATTATTATAAGGTTTATAATAGCCACATTAGACTCTATTAATGAAGAAGTTTAATTCTGCTCTCAATTATACACAAGATTCTCAATTATTATTTAATTAAAAAGTTGTACATTATTTTTCATTTCATTTAACCAGTTGCTATTTCTCCAAAGAACAGGTCAAATTTTCGGGTACTTACCTGGAAATACTCATAAAAATTTTTATCCGAAACCCGCGTAAGTATAGCGAACAGGCTGTACTCATGTATTATATCAGCACTTACACCATGTTATATTTCTTTATGAGACGCTTTGTATAATCAAAGGTCGAGGTATATCGACTATAGCGTCAATCTAATTAGTGTTCTATCAAAATAACGACTGGAGCCATCGCGGAATAATCCGCAATTATTTTTTTATATAAAATTATTAAGAAAATTAACTGACTTACCTAACCTGTGTAGCGTGAAGCCATAGCGGGTTGCTTTGCAAAAAAGTTGTACATACAATAACAAAAATAAGAAACTTCAATTCACCGAACTTGTGTGACCTGTAGCTTAGAATTTTTCTAAATTTTCTCATTTTATATATATTTTTTTTCGAAGCAATCTGCGATGGCTTCAGGCCGTATAGGTTAGGTAAATTAGTTGCTTTTTTAATTGATTAATGTAAAAAAAATTGAAGAGCTACATAGAGTAGCTGATCCTTAACGGTTATGTTATGGTCTGTTAGACGATATAACTACATCGAAATCGGACGCTGATTCAATAACACAGTGAGAAAAAAAGGATTTTTTTCATCCACTACCATTACTCTATATTATTAAAATGTCAAGACTGCTAACTACAATGATTTCGTCTAACTAATTACAGGTTATTTTTATTTTTTAGGGAAGCGAGTTCAATATAAAAGAAAATTTAAACAATTTTTTATACTCCACAACTACTGGAAATTTTGAACAATGGACGAAACAAAACAGAAACAATCCTGACTTAATAAAACTATTACAAAAGGTTTATAATAGTATCTTATTAATTTTAGAAGAAGAAAATATAAAACTGAACGTCTACTTTTTGTTTTATTTAGTTTTTAAAATCCCATTTTAGTATGTCTATACTAATATGATGATACCTCGACAAAATTTGAATTTGAAACCGAGTTACAGGGTGTTTTTTTGCATTTGACCCAATTCTTCCGTACTCTATAATCACTCAGTATTTTTTTTTTAATATTTGCTGAATATGTCAACAAAGCCAGAGGTACTATGACAGAGCAGAGTGGTTCGTAGAAGATTCATCCTTATCAGAAGAATATGGGTGATGTGTTAAATGGGACAGAACGGAGTAGAGTCCCGTTTTTACCTGATATAATATCGGTCAAAAATTTAGATAGCTGAGAGGGGTCAGATTAAATCCTAGATTACGAATTTAAATATTTAGTATTATCTATTATTAATATATATTTCAAGAACTACCTAATATTTGTTTGTGAACATGAAAAGGACATATTGATTGGTCCCCTTCTACATCCCCGAAAATAAAAATATTAAATTATGTCATTTGTTTATTACCGTTTTAGTTTAGTTTACACGGCGGGCGTAATTTCGGCGGGTAATCCCCTCGCCTACCTGCCAAAAGCTAAGTGCCCATCTAATGGCATAGGTAATTTCGGCCGAGGGTAATGTTTATGATAGGATTTTGGAATATACCTGAAAATAATAATCTACCCTTTTCATATTTCCATTTCTTAGAAAAGTTAAAACATTTACATTCATCTTTCTTAATTTGATTTTCATTAGTTTAACAATGTGATTACCTAATTACAAAGTACCGGACCTTTTAATACTAAGATACTAACCACTTATTTTGTGGGCAACCAAGAGATAGAAAACATCTATATTACATGATGGCAGCTTCGATAGTAAAGAGTTCACGCGGTTGTGACTTGCTTATTGTAGAAAAATTTTCATTTTGTAAACAAGACGTATTAAAGAGAGGGGAAGTGCGTTGGAGGTGCATCAGGAAAAATTTTAAATGTTTAGCTAAATTGTATACTGTTGGTGCCGAATATATTGTGACCAGGAGTGAGTTAACTCACAATCATGAACCAGATCAACGTTCTTTGCAGAGAAAAATTGTCACCAATGCATGCAAGCGAAAAGCCCAGGAGGACATATCGGAGAAACCTTCGAAAATTATAAAAAGGGTAACAGTCGTCGTCAGCTCTTGCCAGCCCTGCCTAAAGATATTCATGAAGTACATACTGTAGTTGATATGTATTCTCCTAAAACGACAGCAGGTGAAAATTTTTTGTTTATTAACAGTTTAGTTGATAATATCATTGTTTTTTCTTGCCAAACAAATATTACTACGTTGTGTAAAATGAATGTTATATATATGGATGGCACATTTTCTTTTTGTACGAAATATTTTTATCAATTATTTACCATTCATGGCCTGGAAAATGGGCACTATATAACTCTTTTATATTGTCTGTTACCAAATAAGACTGCTGACACATATATTAAACTTTTTCTGTTGCTTAAATCTAAAATTTTGGAAGTTTTTAATATAGTTTTTGAACCGATGGAGGCATTCGTAGATTTTGAAATATCAATACATATCGCACTAAAAAATGTTTTATCAAAAACGAAAATAAATGGTTGTAAATTTCACTTACATCAAGCGTGGTACAGGAAAATTCAGTCTTTAGAGTTAAGTCAAATATATAAAGACAAAAACTCTGAAGAAAGTAAATGGCTTATTCACACTTTTGGGCTTACTTATTCAAAACCATCTGATGTTGAGGATTGTTTTATATTTGATTTAATGTCTTGCAAACCAAATAATGATATATTATATAGCACCTGATTCCGATTTTCCACCAAATATATGGGCAGACGAAAATCCATCTATAAAACGAACCACAAACGCTTGTGAATCGTTCCATTCTAAATTGAATTCTTCATTTTATTCTTGCCACCCTTCAATATTTATTTTTATAGAAAAGTTAAAAGAATTCCAGATCGATTCATATTTAAAAATAAAAAGTTTAAATATTACAGCAAAAATAAAAGACAAGCAAGTCAGAAATAAATTAAAATTTATTGAAAATATGGTAAATATGCTTCGGTCTGAAAAAATTTCTAGATTTAATTTTGTTAAAACTGTATCTTATAAAAGTTCGTAAAAATGTAATGTATGTTTTTAGCTCTAAAGTCTATTCAGATTTCATTTGCGCCGCGTCAAAACAATCTCTCCCATCCAACAACAGCACACGTGGCATTTTTTTGCGCTTCTATTGGTTAATCGGTCGTTAGTCATTTAGACGACGCGCAAATATTTTTTGTCAGAGTCGAATTCAGTTCAATTTGGATAATTATAAACGGCGGTTTGGTAGCATTCACCGTGTTGGTTAGTTTGGACATTTTGTATGTTTGATTGATTATAATTCATTATATTATAGTTTAGATATACATATATTGTGTTATTTTTTTTTTTTTGTTTTTGTGGTTGTTGTTAGTTTGAATATTTTTACTCTATTTTATGGACATTTAATTGACTATATTTTGTAACTGCTGCGTGACACTATGTCCTCCACAGATACAGCAGATGAAGTCCAGAAAAATGTTTTTACTCCTTCTAAAAAGCGACCGAAAAAGGGACATTTGGTCATCCGTACTAAAGAAATGGTTCTTAATATTTATAAGCATTAAATTTTATAGAACCCTGATATGTTGGTACATGATGTTGAAAGGAGAGTTGCTGATAAAACAGGGATGTGCGCTAAAACCGTTTTTAATGTTATGAAGGAATATAGGCAGATTCATAAATTTTCTGAACCAAAAAGAAAGCTACGTTATAAACAAATTAGTGGCTCTGTGGATGATTTTGATAAAAATGCAATAGGG